CGACCACCCCTCTCTCTCTGTCTTACTTTTGTCCCTTTCATAAAACTCAGTAGTTTTTTACACAGATTTTCCTTCCCTGAAACCCTGCTGGTGTCAAAAATACACTGTTTCTTCCAGGTGCCCCCCACTCTCCTCCTGAGATCTTCTCCATAAAACCCTTTCATACTATACACGTTAGGAACAGGGCTGTAGTTTATGCCCATGTCGTCTCCCTTTTTAAAAATTGGGGCTACATTTGCCATTTTCCCTACCTCAGGGAGTTGCCCAGTTTCAAAATGTGTTGAAATTTTTGTTTAAAGGCTCACACAAAATCTCTGCCCCTCTTTAAGACCCTGGGGGATTTTCTGGCCCACCCCCCTTTAGGGGTCAATCGCAAGCACTTCTTTTACCTCCTCCTGGTTTATTACCTCACCACACTTGCTGGTGTGCCCCCCTGTTTTCTGATTTCTTTGGAGTCCCACTGTTTCAGTTGTGGGTGTGTGAGTATGAGTGTGTGTGTATGAGGGGTGGGGTTTTGTTGGTGTATGATGGGTGTCGTGTGTGTTATGAGTTTGTGTATGTGTTTGTGGTGTGTTGGGGTGTGGTGTTTGTGTGTGTGTGGGGTTTGTGTGTGTTGTGTTGTTGGGGGATTTTGTGTGGTGTGTATGAATTTTTTATGGTGTGTGTGTGTGAGGAGAAGAGGACTCAACAATCAACATTTGCCCAATAACTCACTACTTTTGCCCCGGGGTGGAAATGTGAATTGCTCATTCTCTAAAATTTTTTTTTGATTTAGCCATGTATAAAAGTTAAAAACCATTCTTACAGATTATTACCTTTTTAACTTGTGGTTCATTACCTTTGTAAATTGGTTCATTTCCTTTGTAAATTGGAATTCATTACCTCGTAACTTGCCAGCTATCAAAACTTTGGAGTCCAGTCCCTGGGCCCATTTTGTACCCTGTAATCTTTTGACACCGCCCACAGGAAGGGATGGGTGCAAATAAACAAAAAAAAAAAACTAAACTTTAAAATAGGCAAGCAAGTAATATCCGTAAAAACAGCAAGTAAGCAACTTAAAATTTATGTACAGATACAATAAATTATCATAATAGTGTAAATACCCCCAGGATACCCAAAAAAAAAACAAGAGTGGTTTGTGCCCATGTGGTCCTTGATTTCCATTTTTGTCTTTGATTTCCATAGGGAGATGATTCAGTCCATAAACTTAATAAAACTGCTGCATATTCCCCAAAAATTTTGGCTTATATAACCCCCCAAAATTTATAAATATCCCAAAAATAAGAAATATTTTTTGAGATCAAAACAAAAATTTTTAGGTCTTTTAAATTAAAATTTGGGCGGGAAGACGAAGACCCGGGACGGGGGACGACTTTTTTCTACTTTCAAAAAAGTAAAAAATAATGTTTTTAAATGGCGTAGTAGGTGCATTTTAACCGGTGGTATTTAAATGCTTGCCCACATCATTAAAATTTGATGTCTTTATTAAGGGGATTTATCAGATTTTTGGGGAAATAATGGGCGGGCGGACATTGGGGCGGTGTTGGATGTTTTTATTACTTGGGGCGACGTTTTAGAAATTTTTGGACACTTTCGCCGCCAATGGCTTCTTAGTTCATGAAGAAAAAGTGGAAAAGTTTGAGAGGAAGATAAATTTTGTTTGGGTTTTTTAAACCCCAGAGTTTGCCACCGGGGGGCGTCCTCATCAAGGGCCCCCTTTTTTCAATTGGTTTTCCCTTTTTTTTTGCCCCCCAGGTTCCACCCACACCAGTCCCCAACACTCAGGGACCACATGAAATGCACAACAGTAAGGGAAAAATGGATAAAAATTTTTAACCCGTGCCGGGGATCGAACCACGGGCACAGGCGAGAGCTTGCCAACCCAAAAAGTAAGTTTATTTAGGTACAGGGAACATAAATCTTATACAAATTATCAACATAAGTAACAGTGTAAATTACCAAATAAAACCCCAAACAAAATCCCAAAAGACTATTTCCTTAAATCCTTAGGTAGATAATAGAAGATAAACGGGGACTCCGAGGAATAAGTCTGAGACTTTTTTTTGGGGTTAAAATGGTAGGAAGGTTTGTAGGGGTTTCCTCCTCGGGGCTTATTATGTGACCCACACTGGGCTTTTGGTTAACTGACAAACCTTCCGCTGGGTTACCCCTCCACCCATTTAAAAATTAGGATTATAATTATAACCCCATAAAAGAAAAGTTTTTACTCATCCAAAACTTGTGTATCACAGGGGCCTTTTGGGGAAAATCACTGTCTACTTTTTTTGGGTTTTCCTGGGGGAAAAATTCATATTTTATTGTGTTTGATCATTTGTTTTTAATTTTTTTCTATGTACCTTTCTTAAAAAAATTTTC